CTGCAACTCGCCAACACAAGCTAGCAAGGAATAACTGCGATGGAGGAGCTGGTGCTGGTGCTGGTGCTGGTGCTGGTGCCGGTGCTGGTGCTGGTGCTGGTGCCGGTGCTGGTGGTGGCGGCGGCGGCGGCGGCTGCAGCGGATTCGGCGGCGGTGGCGGCGGTGGCAGCGGCAGTGGCGGTGGCGGCGCCGGTGGGGTAGCCCTGCGGCCATCATTTGGTGTCATCCGCCAGCAGCGGTGGGAATACCTCTTGCCACTTGTCAGGTGAGAAGAAGGAGCAGGCTTGGAAGGACGAACCGCAGTCTTGATGCGTGTGGTTGCTCAGGAATCTGTAGCCTGGTGACACACCACTCAGCCCCCCTTACTTCAAGGGCCATTTGTTCTGACTTACAAAAATGGGTGTGTAAAGATGCTTCCGTACATCAGGTCGCTGCAAGCTTCACATTCACTTAGGCTGTCTAAGCGCGATTCAAAGGGGGTGGGAGGGCGAGGTCGTGGGTGTTAGTTTTTCGTTTGCTGCCCCGACAATGATCGAACCGTGCAGGATGTCATCATGAGGGTCTTCATTGCAGTCTTTGTGGCCGAATGGGGAGATAGGACGCAGGTGGCCATGGTGACGCTTCATTCCTCGGCTCCTTGGGTTCCAGTCTGCGTTGGCTCAATGATTGCATTCCTCGTTCCCTGGCTGAAGGCTTAAGCATTGATTTCAGCCCCTGGGAATTATGGCCTCTCCTGCATTCATGCCAAGGTCCTTACCCTTACAGCTGTCCTCGCTGCTTCATTATTGGAAGGCAGTAAGCTGAGTGAAAGGCTTGTCTTAGGATTGAGTGCGCTGAGTTTCTTTGTGTTCTCTGCCTTGGCCGTTAGAGACGGTTTCTTGGCAAGTAGACAATAGAGCGGACACCCGAAACTTTTGACGAACCTGCGCCAAAACAACCGCTGTGAGTGCCAGTGCGTGCCAGCCGGTGCCTTCGATGCTGGCTCCAGCAATTGACTAACAATACCTTGCAACTGCCAGACTGTGCAGTCGACGACATCCCAAACGGAGGTGGATTTCCGTTGCAGGAAGAGGTCTTATGACTGCAATCAGTGTAGAGGCTAACACTACTACCAGCACTGCTGTCCAAGCGCCGAACAAAGCGCGCGAGGCTTTGTCTGTGCGCGGAACATGTGTCATGCCTTGTGTAACTATCTATTGCAAGCTGAGGGTCGCTTTAAGTGCCGCAGTGCCGCACCCTCAGATTTTCGTGGTGTCTTGTGAATAAGCCAGCCTCTGCGCAAGGAGTCCTGGACCAGATGTGGTAGTCATGGCGGCTGCTTGGCTGACCGGTTCTTTTGACGACAAACAGTGGAGCTGTCAAGAAGCGGTTGAAACAGTTTCTGACACAACAAACAGTGCTGGCATATGCTGGAAGCATAAGGCTTGCGCGCTTCAAGCCATCTGGATCGGGTGATTTCACAAGAGCAGAAGCCAAAGATGCGCCTGCCGAAAACAGCATTGAGCTGCTACATGTATTCCGGCAGTTATGTCTTCACTGCGCAAGTTGCTGGCCGTGCTGAACACATAATGGTCTGCGCAGCGCAACTTCTGGCCATGAGGCATGAAAGATCTTAGGACATGTGCCACGTGAAATGACCCCGCATTCACAGAGGTTTCCTTGAACGCTCTGGGTCAGCTGCTGCCATGCCAGAGCACATGCTGTCATGGCATTCGAGCCTCCGCCGATGCACGGCCTTCAAGCTGCTCTCCATACTTCAAGGTGCAGTGCTGATTGGAAAAGGTTTTGCCAAAGTTTGCCTTGCCAGGCATGACCATGGGTTGGACAGAAACTGTGGTAAACGTGAGGGCGCCAATTATCGCGTCAACTACACTACAAAAGGCTGGTTCGTGATTGCGAGCTTCAGCTAAGCGTTCTTCGTGCTGATGCGTTGGCAGTTTTGCCGCCAGGCCAATACAACGGCCAGGACTGGCAGCAGCTAGCGGGTTGGTGAGCAGTAAGTGTCGTTCAGCTGGTAGTATGTCACAGTGCGGTTGTACACCAAGACAAGGTGCAGCGATCTAGAGAGGCATTTTCTCTGCAAGTCCGGCAGCTGGAGGATACTCATACGTGCAGGCGACTCAACCACAGCCCTTGCTGAAGCTACGTGCCGCCATCTTCATGCAGTCGGGGCAGGCATCGCTGTGAATGAACTCCAGGATTTCAAGCACTGCACTCAGCACAGGTGGCTGTCTCCCCACAGAGCTCATAGACATTGAGGACCATGCTGGGTAAGTGGCATGGTGCTTGGATCCATATTGTTGGGTGCCACGTTTCGTAAAGGCGGCTCGCAGGGAGCTTCACTGACAGGCTGCTACTTTCCTGCTGGGGCAGTAGGGCAAGAATGTTGGCCTGTCCGTAACGGCCAAGTATTCCCGTTCGTGATAAGAGTTGAGAGAGGCAGGTCGACCACTCCTCCCTAGTTAAGGCCCAAATTGGGTTATCTACATTCAAAATGACCTACATGCAGGATCCAAACTGTCACCGTTGGAGGACCCTGGTCCTCCAAACCCTGTCTGTGACTCTGTCTAGGCTCGTGCTTGAAAGATCTTCAATTACACCTCAAGCCAGGGACATCCCAAGCCGTAGACCCTAAATCCCAAGCCTTGGTACACTTCTCGATTTGTTCGTGTCGTCCTCGCATTCCTCGCGCAGTGGCCATGCTCATCTTCTTTGTATGATTCCAAACTCCCATAATCCGCAACCCAAGACTCTTATTCCTAAACAGAACATAGGCCTGCGTTGTTCAGATCTTTGCCGGACTCGAACCTTTCGATGCCGTCAGAGCCATGCTGTCAAAATCCTACGCACTCTCGATGGTCGATCCTGAACCCCATCCCCCCACCCCAACCTTACACCCTAAGCCGATGACCCCAGAACCTGATAGGATCCACTCTCCCCCTCCTCTCCCCTCTCCACTTGTCAGGGCTCCGAAAGCGACAACAGTTCTGCGTTTCGCGACCAGGACCTCCCCGCTCCCTGTGACTGTTGACACTTTTGAGACGCGCGGACCAGAGCCACGTCCAAAAGTGACGACAGTTCTACGCTTCGCGACCAGGACCCCCCCCGATCCCTATGACTGATCCCTGTGACTGCTGACACTTTTCAAATGCAAAGAACCAGGAACAAGTCCAAAAATGACAACAGTTCTGGGTCTCGCGACCACGACCCCCGTTTCGCGACTATGGGGTATGAGCGACACTCGCGAATGCTTGCTGACACTTTGTGAATGCTTGCGGAGGCTTGCGAACACAAATGCGACGACTTTGGGTCACCTCCTGGACCCCTGGACCCCAACCTTACAACGGAAACCCTTCTGCGGAGCATTCGGGAAAAACAATGTAAAGAAATCTCCCAGCAGAAGCTTTAAGCTCGAAACCTACACCACATACTGGACGCTTCCGCTCTGATACCCTAGTGTTTTTGGTAGTGTTCAAGCTCATCAACCGCAAGTAGCTGTGCTTCGCGAGTTTTCCATAAGCAGAATATCAGTCAAATGCTGTTGAAAGACAGCTGCCGTCCTCATGGCTTTCTGCTCTTCACTTCAGCTGACTCCTTCGGGGGGTCAAGAGCCCGTGTGCGGTAGTCACGCCCTGTCCTAATTAGGATAAACCAAAACAAAGACACATGATGTACAAGGTTTTGAGATTTGAATTTAAACCGACTAAGCTGATTTAGTTTACTCCGGAAATTTGAGGGCTGTGTTGTAGACAAACCGGGAAGATTGCTGCAGTCAAGCTGTTAACACGAGGTACGGGCAGAATCACAGAAGTACAATCTACAGTTCAATCTAGATACATGACTTAACCTAACCATCAATCAGCGTCAGTCATTTGTGACATTCCTTGACGGTTCGTAGGTACCACGCAAAACGCAGGCAGCTTAGGTTGGAGCGACCCATACAGATGCTGTAGACAGTCGCAGAGAAATTCTGAAGAAAATCGGAGAAGCGAATAGCACAGCAAATCATCTCAAACTTCTCTGGTCCAAAACTAGAACCACGAAAAGACGGAAGCTTAAGGTTCATTCTCGGCAAGTTACTGTATAGCTTCAATACAGCCAACTGGTCCAGTAGACGCATTCCAAATGTAATTGCTTAGACGAGTTCGGCAGGTACCTCACACACATGTGGATCGAGAATGGACGCCAGAAAGTAGCCAGTACGTTACCTAACTCGGTTCAAACATATCCCAAATATCGCGTAAACAAAAAATCACCTGGCCAGGACACATTTCAAGATCTCCAGCAGCAGATTCCATGAGGCGAGTCATTTTCGAGCAAGGTACGTATGCGCCCCGCATTGAGCGTACGCGGAGGCTAGGCAAACCAAGAGCAAATTGGCCGGTCGAGACCTGCAAAGAAGTTTGTCTTTTGCAAGATTAGCTTCCCAAACTGATTTCGATATTAACAATTCCGATCATATGAGGCATCTTGCAAGTAGGGCGACACATCGTCAGACTTTTTTAGGGACTAACCAATAGCAATCAGAGCGAATGCTTCATTGAATATCTCATGAAATAGCTTTTCCGGGGCAAGGGAGGCACGCTCACTTTATAAACCGAACCCTGAGCACTGGCAAAACTTTTACGATGGTCCAAGGGATCCATGGGCACTGCCACAAATCTTCCCCTGCTTGGCAACGCTCAGCTCCAGACCGTGGAGTAGCGTGATGAATGAATGAAATGGAGCTGTTTGGCTTTTCTATAAAATGATGGTGCTGTATGGTGTTGTAGGAGTTTTCTGGAATCACAGAACATCACAAGCAATCGCATTAGCAGACTCCGGAAGTTGCTGACATGCTCGTTGTATCCAAATGCTGCACACACCAAGCCCAAGCTGGGGTACGCAAGCGGATGCGCTAGGGAGTTCCAGCCCATGCTTTGCAGTAGTTTTCAACATACTTTCACATTTGCGTTCACTGCAAAGCCTGCATTTGAGCAGCCGAGTGGCAGCCCGTTAGGGAACAGACTCATGCTCATGAATTCCTAGTTGCAGTAGGGACCGTGCTTTGTCAGGATTTCGTAGATTCAGTACCTCAAAAAATCTTTATGCCTGCAGCCTAAACACCGCACTCGCGTACGTGGTCGAACAAAAATTGCAAGGATCACAACCCGAAGAGGCGAAGGCATGAGTCATCATTTTTTGGTATGCTTCCCGAGGCATATTAGGGTGACCCATGGTGACCCCCCTTTTCATCTCTTATGTTCGCCTCTACATGAGCCGTACCACAACCTGTATATGAAGCCCGTACTCGGAGTTTTTTGCCCATAGCTCAGGTTATACGATTATACTATATTCTTCAGTATTTTTGGAAGCACCTTGGAAATCCTGTTTTTGCCTCCAGCTGCCATCCTTTTCATTTTCTCACGGAGCTCCTCACACTTGGATTAGAAACTGCGCAAGTTGAACTTGATGAGGGAGCTCAAAAGTTGCACCCCGCACGTCACCGTGCGTGCCTCCCTGTTGTCACCAGTGCGCATTGAATTAGTTGGCACCAGGTCCTGCTACCCTGTTTGGGTCCAATTCGCTTGGTCAAATAATTTTCTAGCAGCCCAAGCATACATCAGAGCGAGCGACAACAAATAGAAATAACTCCTGGACAGTCCGGGGCCACAACACGTGACGAGATTTAAGGCGTCTGCGCACATAAAGGGTAGCAATCTGTGTTGTGTGGCTACCTTCTTCAACGTTAAGTTTTCGGGCTTATTTAATGTCAGGCAATTGTTCTGGGTGCTTTGTTTGATTTTGCAGAAACAACTCCATGATTTTTAATTATGAAATTTGATAGCTCAAGTTTCACAGGTCTGGGAAATGGACCAATTTGTGGGCTCAAGGGAGCAATGAGGGGTTTGAGGCTTCACAGCTGAAATTGCTTTTTTAGCTACCAAATGAACAGCTTAAAGTATTCTAGAGCCAAACACTTCCTCGTAATCCTTTCTGGGCTCCACAAACCACAAGTACTAGCAAACTCGCTCCCCCAAGCACCTTCTTACTGGGGGTGACATGTCAAGCCTTGTCTGAGAGGGAACTGGATGGGGCGTGGTCTAAGTCCCCGCCCTGCCAATGAACACGCTACATGGCAAATACCTGAACTCCGCTTGGAGGCCTGTGGGACGTAGTACGTAAAGTGGTTACTGACCTAGAACCCGATTCCTAAATGCCAGCCCGCCACTTAGCAGCAAGCGCGGCATTGCTAAACCACGCAAATCAGAACGTGCATGGTGTCTTTGTGAGCTCATACGAGATCCGCTTCTTGCCTCATCAGGTCCATTTCGACAAATCCCAATAACCTCTTGACATCGCATGGCTCACAAGTAGTTGTAGAAAGGCAAGAGAGTTGCGCTGCGCTAAGAGGAGTCGTTGAAGACCCTGGCAGACAACTTCGGCAACCTGAGCCTAGGGCAGCAGATCATGAAGCAACTCCATTTTGGATGGGATGTCCTCCTCACATACAGAACCCCAGAAGAGGCACGTCTTCATTTCGTCACGGCCTTGGTACAGTTCCCCAAAAGCCGCCATATACTTCGAGAGTTGGCAGCTGCAGCAGCACTGTCTTTTGTTCTACCCCGCTCTGGTGATGCAAACGTACTGCACTGGGGCCAGAACGGTACGTGGGCACATGTGACGCCTCCGACTTCTAACAGCTTGGCTGAAGCTTTCGATGGCTGGGAGACATATGCCATGGTACGATTTCAACAGCCGCACATGTTCCTCAGCGAGGATGAGCCAGATCTGCTTTCAGCCGGCATGCCCACTCACAGCTTCTTCCCATCTGGAGAAATTCGGCCGAGTGATAGCAATGTTGGAATGCTGGGCCTGATTTACGAGCACAGGCTGCGACATGACAAGCAGCTGATGGAGCTATTGTGGGAGTTGAAGCTTGTACCAGACACAACTGCAAAGCGCGCGCTAGCAGCTTACAGTCGAGTTCTGGATGCTGCAGAGCGCAGTGAGGGTGGGCTTCTGAGGCCGAGTGAGGAGCACTGGCACAGCCTGTACCCGTTTCACAACCGCCGGCTCTATGTGCACCCCAGTCCTCGCCTTGCCCCAACAGCATTGAATCCATATGCAGACATTGACATGAAGTTGTTGCACAGCCAGGCTGCTTCCAGGACTTCCAGCCGCGCTGGCGGGTTTTTGGCAACAGGGGGAGTGCTTGTGATTGATCACCTTCTTCGGTCAGAAACCCTTGAACAGCTGCAAAATTTTGCTCAGCTCTCAACCATATGGTATCAAGAGAGACCTCATTATCTGGGTGCCGGATTTAGCACAGGCTTTGCATCACCACTCCTTTCGCAGATTGCCGAGGAACTGAGGAGCTTACTCACGGACGTTCTGTGTGATTTGCCGTTGGCTAACGTGTGGGCCTTCAAATATGACGACGAATCTGACCTGGGGATTGACCTGCATGCAGATGCTGCTGCAGTCAATGTGAACCTTTGGATAACGCCAGATGGAGCCAATCTCGACAATGTCACAGGTGGACTGATAATCTTCGATGCGTCCGTCGACGAGAAGGGCTCTGCCTTTGAGTCATTTAACCAGATAAGCCTTGAGAATAATGATGCAGAGTCTCCTCTCGCAGGCCTTGTGAAGAAGTCGGACTATGCAAATGTCACGGTACCCTACCGACAAAATAGGGTTGTTGTATTTGACTCAGCACGAGTACACAGCACCCAGACGTTGGCTTTCAAGAAGGCTGGGCTGCGTTCGCGACGGATTAACATCACTTTCCTGTTTGGGGCACAGGGCTCCTATTGCCCGCTGCGGCGTTCTGCGAGGATTGTGTTGGATGGGTAGTAGCTCAACCATGCCACCATGCACAGAAACTGTTGCCCTCGGCATGGTCTCAGAAGCCTCTGTTGCAGAAGGCACATCGGAGCCTCAGATGGGCAGACGCAGGTCACCTTGAACGTGGTACTTCCAGTTTGTTGTAGGCCAGAAGGCGCGGAATGCACGGAGGGGCATTTGCAAGGGTCCTCCGATTCTGCAGCAGAGCGGCCAGAGCACGAGCACAGTTTATCCTGCCCTGCGCTCCCTGTTGGTTTGTGCCATGTTTCAAGGGCACTGATTCATCGGGCTGTGCTCGGTTGCTGATCCATTTGGTGGGCTGGCAGTGTCGGTGCGTGTGCCTTCCAATGGTACTGACTGATCTATGAACCAACCGCTAGAGCCAGGCAGTAGCCAGGCTCATTTCTATCCTGCTCTCCTGTGGAGGCAAAGATGCCTGGCCCAACAGTCCGGCGTTCAAAAACGAGCCGCCACCATTCATATGTTCTACCCACACACACACACACACACACACGATGGCCACACACGCGCACACACACACACGCAGCATCCCGAAGGATGTAGTAAGTTAGTTACATGTTATTCCTCTTGTCCCCCCTGGGGGGTGATTCTGCTCATGCACCTTAATGCGCATGACTTGTTTCCTTTTGTAATCTTTGCATCATGCACCTGAAAGCGCATGCTTCTCCTTTTGCTCTGTTGGGATGTGTTTGTTTTGGCCTGTTCCTGTTCGGGAAGGGTCCCCAACTCGAGCATTGCGTCTCCAACCTCATGACATCACTGTCGCATGACATGTACTGACATGTCTGAAAATCTTTGCTCTGAAACGTGTACAACTCGCAAAACTGCAGACTGGACATGTTTGACATGTACTGCTGCGCTCATCACAGCCTAAAACCTTGTTTTGGAAAAAGGAAAAGCGCCCAACTTTGATGGTGGATAAGGGTTCTGTCCACCTTCTGCAGGTACGTCCAATGGCGTCCTATTGGATATCGTTGGTGCAAGACTGGATGGGCTGCTTGCACCCCCTGCAATTGACTACGAATAAATCCCTTGGCCAACAGGGGGTTACACACACAGACACAGACACACACAGACACACACACGCACGCACGCACGCACGCACGCACGCACGCATGCACGCACACACACACACACACTTGCAAGCATCCCGAAGGATGTAGTAGGTGCGATGTGATCTTTTCCCAGTCTCTGTACACACACTTGAAAGGTTTTCAACCCAACAAAGTTGAGTTGAAGGAGTCTCAGCTCCCATCTGCATCAATGCAGTATTCAAAAGGTTTAGTGGAAGTCTCAACCTGTTATGGAATTTAATGAATCTGAACAAGGACCAAGTTGCTCTGCATTTGGGGGGACTTGGGGGAAGGTACGCCCTTAAGGGGACAAATATATTGTCGTCGTCGTCTTAAAGGGGACCTAAGGGACCTTAGGGGTTCCCCCTTCTGCACC